TATCCAGACAATCTATAACTCTACGAAACGCGCGTTTTGTAAAACAATATCGACCGACCACAATTGATTCCGGTTTGGAAGAGAATCCTATTGAATTGAACTCTTGAACTTGACGTAATCTAATGCCCGAGATTGCTCAAACTCATCCAATACTAAAACATTTTATTGCATTCCCACCTCTCTCGAACTTTTCCGCTGAAGTCGCGCGTGCACTTTCTCCGGCGCGCCCGCTTTCCCCTAGACGCGAAAAGTCTCTTGCGAAGAAAAGAAATGGCAGCGAACAGAGGATAAAAAAGTCACCCGCTCGCCTTGATCACGCTCGTTCTCGTATATAATACACCTCGTGTGTATAATATGCACATTATATTATGCTGCAATGTAACGGGTCAGATTAAGTCACGTGCTCGGGTGCGACTTCGAGCACATTCTCGTTGCACATGCAACGTTCTCTCTCTCTCTCCTTCTCTCTCTTTCTCTCTCACACCTCGCCCCGTTATTAATATTCTCGTTCCTTTTATGCACGACACGAGACAAATCGCACGCTCGTACCTTATCAGAGCGAGTCTTGTAAATATATACTCAGAACGGTACAGCTAAAGGAATGATGTAACGAATGCAACGGTGATCGGTATGTGAGTAGGGAAGTGTAACAGATGCAGTTGAAGAAGCAAGTTAAATGAAACTCGGGGCAATTAGCCCACAGATCGAGGATCGAGAGAGATTAAGTTTCGAAACCGAAACGAATGGAGAATCCTAATTAAGCAAATAGCTTTATGAAAATGTATAGAATCTCTTTTCTCTCTGTCAGTTTTTGGGATTATTTTTCACGCCGAATTTCTACGCTAATCGCGTACAGAAGAGCGCACGAAAGTCGAACGATATTAACTACATTTCACATCTGCGGTGTCGCGCATACAATTACATCCTAATAAATCCTCGTGAAATATATACTAATTACTGGAGAGCTCGAGTCCGACTAAAGAAACCCGTCGTGATCCGAAGAGCCGTCGTCTCTCTAGGAAGTGAAACGCCACTCATGTAAATTCATGCAGCGCAACGAAAGAAGAAGAAGAAGAAGAAGAAGACTGATATCATCGATCGGATTTATCGTTCCTGTCGTGCTCGCGCGACAATGGCGACGACGACCTCTCGGTCTGCCTGGAGTCATAAGACTTAACCCATTATACGCCGACGAGATTTCAACGTCACGAGGAGAGAGAGATGCCCCTGTTGGTTCTCGGATTTCCCGCGAAAGTCACTTTGCCCACGAGAGGATATTACGGTCTCCCGAAAATACCTTCGAGATTCAATTTCGAGCGCTTCTAACGATATCGCAGATATTGTTTTTCTTCGTCATGGATTCCCAACGTGCGCGTACACCTAAAGGATTAAGACTTCAGGCATAGAACGGTATTGATCAAGCCGAACGGAATGACGTAACGCGGGGCATTCATGAGTAGGATACATCCAATGGCGTTTCCATTTGCTCTGAGTTGGCAACTTTCCGTCGTGTCGCCTCACAATGGTGCCGCACGATCGAACCTGAATTTTTGAAAATATTGGAAAGACAATCTGAAAATGAAAAGATTACAACAAGATGGGCTTGCTGGGAAAATCTGCTCTAGAATAAAAAAACACAGAGAAGAAAGATCCAATTTTTTTTTAATAAAAAGAATAACATAGAATCAACAATTGTTTTTTCAGAAGTTAAAACTTTTGAAAAGTTAAGAAACTTTAAGAAAATATATATTTTCTTATTTAAAAAATATTTTATGTATATTTTTTTATTTAAAAAATATTTTATGTATATTTTCTTATTTAAAAAATATTTTATGTTACATTCTGAGAGAGAAATACTTAGAAATTTCTTGAATTTCTTTGTAGGGTGTAAAGTCTATTTCTCTGTGAATAAACTTTAAAGTAAAATTCATTAAGTTTATTAAATTTCAAGATAAAACTAAATTTATTATTACTAAAGTTTAATAAGCTTCAAAATAAAATGTATTAAAGTTAACTTGAGTTAAAATTTGTTTCTATGAATAAACTTTATATTCCTCACAAATAAATGTTCAAATTTTCTTTTCTCAGAATAGTTTAAATATATTGTTAGTGCCCACGGAATAAATATCTTTATTTCTGAAATAATTTCTCTCAATTTCTCTCGTAAAGTTTGGGTTTAATGAATGAACCAACGCATTTTGCTTAAAAGATGCAAAATTCCTGTAGTTCTTATGACCCACATTTAGTTCAAAGAACTTGAAATTCCATTCCCTTCAATATGCGTATAAATTGTTATAGTAATAATAAATTCAACGAATTTATTGAACATATAAAAAAGTCATTCTAGCAATTATAATAATTTTCTAGTAGAAAGTCAAACGTGCATAACACTTTTAAACAGTTCACACTTCATGTTAATGCAACTAGACATTTTTTCTCTGTGAAAGAAATCTTTCTTTCTCTCTTGGCTATAAAAAAAAGATCAATTCACCTAATTGTGCTGACATTGCCTTTCGAATAAATTTGTAGCGTACGTAACAATGAAGATACACTTACCGAGAAGTCCTCAATTACGGTGAACTGGAAACAGCCATGAAAGACTGCGATTCAATCCTGGTTACCTTGAATTTCACCGAGGCCGCTTGGATATGATGTGTGTGATCGATAGGTACCCTTAATTAGCCCCCGGCGGTCGGCTGAATTTCTAATTTAATCGACTTCGATATCGGGTTCACCGGGCAAGCGGTTTCTCGTCTAAGCGGTAGTTTCACGTTTTCCTTTCCGAATCGCGATTAACCGGAATCCGTGTCAAGGATGTTCATTCGTCGGCTGTTTTATCTTCTCTCGCCCGCCCGGAACCTACTTTACGAATTAACGCTTGGCTCGTCCAGACAACGGCTTCTCCAGCGGTATCGTCGGCAGTTCGCCTGTGCTTTGCGCGACTATTTCGCCAGGGCGATAGTCGAAGCGGGTCACCAAATTGCAGTCGCGATGAATCACGCCGTGCAGCCAGGCAAGTCTAATGAGCTCTAATAACGATCAGCCAACATTTATCGCAGCGCTTGCTGGGGACGTGCGCTCCCTCAAAGGAGGATGCCCGAAATGGCTCTGGAACGTGTACAGATAAATTCTAGCGCGATTGAAACACAAGAGAAACAGAATTGTACACAGAAGAAACAGTATTGTTGGCCCGCGCGTAAATTTTCTGGTGTCAACCAGATTCAATAATAAAATATGGAACAATGAATTGTGTGGTTGCTGCAACCACTGAATTGGTCGCTGAGTTGTTAGCGTTGCAGCAGTGACGATATCTCCAGCCAGAGTATATCCATGGCAAATATCATTCCAGCGGATTTCTTGTTGCCGCAACCAGATTACACGCAACTAACTGCTAAAGTAACTGACTTATATCAACCATACATAATATCATTACATAAGAATAATTAGTATGATGCAACCATGTTGCTCGCAGCTAAATATTTCTGGTGTGTACTTGTATCTTTTCTCAGTGTACTCATTCAGTTTATCAAAAGTTGTAACGGTACCATCATTGAGAAACATTGCAGTCTCGAGATATAAGATGATTTTTGCAAATTTTTTTTTAATGCGCTACCTTCAGCTGTGAAGCTTACCAAACTGAAAAATATTTGTTTTCATATATTATTACTATCGAGTATCACATCACATACAGAGAGAATATTATAATTTAAAAATACAAGTGACACGTATAAAATGGCAGGATAGAGAATTACTACAGATAGAATTACTGCAGAATGCCGATCTATTTATCGGGGTTACAATATCCTACTCTAATAGTACAAATCTCCCAGGAACATCCTAAAGACGTCCAGAGAACATCCCTGTGTTCTCTAAGGACGTTCATAAGATATCCATAAAAAATCGTGTGCTGTCTAACAGACTATAGATACATAGATAATTTTTACTATAAAATTCTCTTTCTGTATAGGACAGTTATAATGTGTGTCGACTGTTCTAAGACCACTTTTATACCACGGATGGTGCAATGGAGACTTTTAATGGGCATTGGTATACTTACGAAATACACAAGAGATTCCAACCGTGGAGCCAGTGGCCATGAGGATTTGGGCATCCTCCTTTGTAATCGTCGATCCTTTAGGGTGCGATTTGCAAACCGCGCCGTATCAGCGGATTACCTCGCCCCCCGGCACGACATCCGGTACGAAAAGAACGAGCGATCGTCGAACCCGCTCCGCGCAACGGCCTCGCCGGCCGTTAGAAGGAGGCGCAGTTGCATTCGAGCGAACCACCGTATAATTGTTATCACCGATGCAGCGGCGAAACAATGTTGCCGGAAGGCGCGGGCCTAACGTGCCTAACGGTCATGTGGACAGTATGCGAATGCAGTCGTGATTAAATCGTTCTCGTTAATGGCGAACTGTCGTTTATCGACCAGCGTCTCCCTTCGTGCCGCGCGCTTGCATTATCGGAAGCATCGCGCGTCGCATCTTCACGGTCACGTTCGTGGCCTTTGACTTGGGCGCACGTTGCAAAAGCTGCGCCGGCCGGCCAGGAACCACGTTCGATTTATGCTCGCCGTGGACGCGGGGACGAAAAGCTAACGAAAAACTGACGTGGACGTGCCGATATTGATCGGCACAGTTCGCGTTGTATTATCCGACCAGCGTTCACTTGGGAAACTCTTCCCGCAGCCATCTCATATTTTTTTCATGTAATATAATTCAAGGCATGTACGTATATCGATTCGGAGAGTTTGAAAGGTATCAGTGAAATGTTTCTTAATTTAATAATTAATTCCAACAAATATGCTTCGATTCAACCAACTGACGATCGATTTCAACTTTAGTTGAAAACTGTTCTTGGTGTGAACGAGGGGAACCAAGGATTGTTCAATCGACGACTGAACTTAGCAAATTTAATTAAAGACCGTTTTATTGGCGATTGATAGGAGCCAGACGTCACCTGATATCACCAGAATAGAAACTATCATTTGTTCGCAGGTGCTAGTGACGAAGAAACAGTCGTGGCAGCGCAGTCTCCGCAATCAGAACCGCGAAATGACACGGCGGAATCGAAAGGCGTCTACCCGACGAAGGAGTCCGACGTCAAGGCCACGACGGAGGCGAAGAAGAAGCCGGTAGTGGACTTCAAGGTCAAAAGCGATCAGAAGTACCAAAAGCCCATCGCCAAGGATGACGATGCGAAGAGAGTCTCAGACGGCGACGCGTCTGCGACGCCCATGTCAACGTCGCCCATGTCTTCGACGATGCCTGATCAATCTCCGGCGACGACGAAGTCTATGGATGCGACGGGTGTGACGATCCCGTTTCTTTTTCACGGGGAGCCGATCGTCGGGATCGTCACGACGACGCCGGCCAACGGTCCTACCGTCCAAGACCCGACCAGCAGCACGGAGGAGGTGCGAGTGACGGAGGAAACGACGTCATCGAGAGGCAGGGCCTTGAACATCTCCGCTCCGGAGCCAACGAACTCGTTGCACGCTAATATTACAGATCTCAGTGACGTCAGCATGGACGAGGACGACAAGGAAGTGGAAGGTAAACGTTGCTGTAAGAGAGACATTACGCGCCCTATTTGCTTGTTAGCAAACACCAGCGCTTTTGCAGATACAACAAATCCCGTGTGACTCGGAAAAAACGATAGAAAATGTTATATCTGATACATCGTATTTATATCGTTTACAGGATCAATTATGCCATTTTATTAAACCATGCATAACGGTTTAAAAATAGCGCTTTTAAAATAACGTTTTCAATTTTGCAAACTGAAATAGCTTTTATTCAACGGCGAAATTAAAACAATTCGATCTACTGTTCGCAGGTGGGGAATACGTCGCGTCTCACAATGAAACGTCCATAAATATCTCCTCGACGTTATTACCAAAGGTGCCAGAGTGCGTTCACGGGAATCGCACCTACTCGTTGGGCGAAAAAGTTGTGCGAGATTGTGAGGAGAAGTGCGTCTGCTCCGAAAACGGCATCACGGACTGCCAGCCACTGTGCGTACATCCTTATGTCAGAGCGGGCAGGGGAATCGAGGACCATTTGTGCCAAGAAAAGATAGTCTCCGAGGAACCATGTTGCGCCGTGATCCTCTGTGCCGCGGATTCCGGTATGCTCCGATCCGATTTTACCGGTATTTCCGGTATGCGGCGATCCGATTTTTCCTTACCTTAGGCAACATAAATCTCCAAAAGACGTCTACAAAAGAAGAATCCTGAATAAAGTAGAGGTTTAAACAATTAAGAAACGAAGGATTCTTTTGGACGTCCAAAAAACGTCCAAAAGGAGAACGATCTAATAAAAGAAGTATTCTTTGTCATGTACAAAGATAGATTTTTCAATAGTAGGTTAAATAGATTTAAGTTTAAATTCTGTTCTAACAATGTTTGAACAGAGCTTAACTCTGGAACTTCTTAAACATGGATAAAACTTACCCAGATAAATTTTCTAAATTGTTGTTCTTAAAACATATATTTTAAATTTGCTATAACTTTTTTTAACTTTATTAAATCATCAAAATACTAATAAAATCATATTCTCCGACGAATTCTACTCTAATTAAATATAATATTTTGATAATTTTTTCTCAAGTTGTAAGCAAAAGAAGCTGCATTAGATAAAATTTACTTATGTTTAAGATTTATGTAATTTTTTAGTGTTCAGAATTCTTAAGCTTAAAATCTTAAATTTAAACTATTGAAAATTGAAAAATTTGCCCTAAAAGACGTCTAAAAAATGAGATACTTTTTTGACGACTTTTTTCGGAGTTTGAGCTGCTTGTGTTACAATCTCATTGAGTTACTTGATTTATGCAATTTGGAAATGTATTTGACGCAGCTCCGGAGCCGGAGGAGACATGTATATTCGGCAGTCAAACGGTAGCCAGGGGACAGCGTGTCGAAGACGGGTGCTCCAAGGTATGCATATGCGAGGCCGGAGGCCATTTAAAATGCCAAGCTAGATGTCCGCCGAACGAGACAACTTCCATAGCCAATCAACACGATCGCTGCGTCCAGCTGACCGATCCCAGGTAAGGGATCTTTTTAATTTCACAAAATCACGAACGACAGAATCGTGGGGTGAAGAACTCTGAAACAGCTAACTGCTCGCACTTCAGGGACCAGTGCTGCACCATCACGCTCTGCGACGTTACCTTGGGCGATCACGAGATCAAAGCCGAGAACTCCACAGACCTAAGTGTGCACTTGATGGACGTGAAAGTGTTGAATTCAACGACGATCAAGCTGAAGCTGTCCGCCAAGAATCCCCAGGATGTCACCATAGAAATCTCACAGGACAATCGTGTGTGGAGCCGACAGAAACCCGATAAAGGTAAGCGAACTTTTCCGGAAGATAAAGCGATCGTTTCTAAAACAGGCCAACATTCTTTCTGTACATAAATCCGTAAATCTATATTTTAACATGCTTTTTGTATAATATTGCAATTGCATAGACTATTATTATCGACAAATATTCCTTCATAACGCACGGAAAAAAAAATTTAATTGATTAACTAAATTTCTAATAAGATGAATGATGAATGAACCAAAATATTCCGGTTGAAGTTACCAGGATTTTGTTCAAGTTAACAACATTTCTGGTTATCCAGAAAATCCAAACAAACGTTTTTTTCCATGCGGAGTAAATGCTGACAAAATAAAATTACGCGTATGTGATAGCAACCATGAATGAGTTAAGTCAGTTTTACATTACTACAAATTTTTACATATATATAATAATATAAACAGTTGTGAATCAATTATCTCTGATTTTACAATCAATATGTTCGCTACTATCGTTTATTTAGAAAACTACTCCATCATAGATAATCATATATATATATATATATATATATATATATATATATAT